TATATAATGAAAAAATACCACAGTACATTAAAAAAAATGTTTTTCTTGGAACATTTGCTTTTCATAAATATCATGCCAGTTGTGTAAAATAGTAATTATACTATAGTTTGCAATTTTCATATAATTGTATAGGTTTTCTGTCATTTTAAAATGAGTAATTGATAGGATGTAGAATTTTTGTTCCAAAATATAACACATGAGTGATATTCTCTTGCAGTTAAATAAAACAAAACAAAATACTCAAATAAAAAACAAAACCTCTCAAACTCATTGCTGTCGAATTGTAATTGACTAATAGCTCACCCTCGAGTGGTTTATGGGTGGATTGACATAGTGAATATAGTAGTAGGCTCAAGTAGATCAGCAACTGTGAGGATGGTGCAGAATAGGGCAAGGTTCAGATTTGCTGTTTATAGGGTCTCTGTGAGTCATAGCAACTCAGTGGCACCTAACAACAGCAAGAACAATACGTTGCACTGGAGCACAATGCTCATTTTTCTCTTAGGAACCACCTGCTTTTGGGTTGACAGTGCATCTCCTTACCTGATACACCTCCAGAGCTCCCTCTCAAAATAATTAGCCAGTGAAAACTTGGTGAGTCACAGTGATCTTCGACTACTCCTGGGACGTGCAGGACTGAGCAGCATTTCTTTGTACCATTTGTGGGACACATCACAGGCAGCCAACAATAGCAGTAACACTAAAAGTTGATAGAATTATATTTAGATCTATATTTATGTGTCTACACTTCAATAATAACAGCCTAACCCAGTTTCCAGTGTGAGGTAGGCAATCAAATGTTTGTTGAATAAATGATACTCTTTTTATAATCCATAAATCAGCTCAAGAGTCGAAGATCAGCATACTGCTTTTATTGCCCATAGTAATAAGACTCAATCTTTTATTTATTAGCACCTGACATACTTTGGGCATGTTGCCAGGAGAGACAGGTCCTTGGAGAGGGACATCATGCTTGGGAGGGTGGAGGGACAGCGCAGGAGGGGAAGACCCTCTATGAGATGGAT